CGAAACATTATAAACGAATAGAAAAATGATAAATGTTTTATGACCATAACTTTATTATTGATCAACGAAAGAAGAAATATACATTATTGTGTTGGGGGCCAGCTGACGCCGCTTCCAGGTGCTGGATGTTCTCGCTCTGTTGAAGACCCATTGGTGGCTTTTGGCTTTTTTTAATCTTTGGTCGGGTTTTGTCTCTTTGTCCAAGTTTCCTTTCTCTATTTTATCAATAGCCAGTTCTTCGTGATGGGTATTATTCAACATACCTTCTAGTTTATTAGTAATCAGCACTCTTGTGTTAACACGAGATATCAATAATTTTTTTCTGTACATTTTCGGTTTACTAAATGTTAAATTATTCGAAATCCAAAGTGTTTTCTTTCCCCTTGTCTATAATGCCATTACCTTATTTGGCACAAAATTAAGAAGATTTTGGTCTTAAATTATCTTTAACTTGTCATTTTAGGTTTTCAACTGTTTTTGTTTGAGTGCCACTAAAGAGTTATGTTCACGAAACGCCCGTCTGACGTATCAAATTATAAGCTATTAACATATTTTTATTTTCTAATTTCTCAAGGTGCAACATGGTGACATTATACATGAAGCCTGAGAAAAAAGAAAGTATAAAATATTTCATGTAAGGCAGTACAATTAAACATAAGGATGTGAATTTGTTAAAGAAATTCAACAAAGAGGGCTTTGTTTCAACAGTTGAACACACATGCAGTACTATTCAATGACGTAAAATCAAAGCACAGATAACTGTGTAATTAGTAAAAATATTAAAACCTCACTCTTTAAAAATATCGGAAATCTATAAGCAGATCGAAGTGTAGAGATCTATAAATTACACAAATATCATACAAATAACATTAAAACTGTTAATTAGTGTCCTCCGTTTTAACTGATACTTAAACCTCCGAAGTTTAAATAACTAAATGACGATGACTGACATAACTAAATATCACCATTGTATCAATCGAATTGAAACAAAATTATTGAAGTATTAATCGAATAAAGTGAATAATGCAGGCCAACACAAATTGTGTATCTAACAATGTTCGAATGATTCTACAAAATACAGAAGAAAAGATATGACATTTGCTGAATTCATTTCGCATGTAAGATTACAGATTGATACAGATTACGAAAAAAAATACAGTTTTTAAAGGGCATTGTCAATTCATTTACAGCTCATTCCAAAATGTAAATGCCAAAAATAATCTACATTTTGAATTAACCACCTTTATCGGTTAAACAATTATCTACATCTATCTTAAAATTTGCACCCACATTAAAGTCTTGATTCAAGGAAGTTCGGCAGTCGTCAGCAATTAAGTTAAAACCCGTGTACTTTAAATAGATTTATCATGGTTTGTGTTCATGCAATTTTTACTCCTTTATAAATTGTGTAGACTAGTTAACCTTTTGTTACTTGTCGTGGAAAATTTGTACACACTCTCGTAAGTTGATTAATGCCAGTTAAAATTGTTTTTGAGACCAACGGGCTGAACTTTAATCTCTCGACTAAATTCTAAATGATTACAGTATCAATAAAATTGAACCAATCTTAATTGACATTATAATATTAAGCTTGAAAAAAATACGAAAATGTATAATGTAAAGATGTGTTGTAAAATGTCGACATTTTTGGATTATATAGTACATGATATAGCTCTTTAACTGTTTCGGACAATATGCATTATCGGCTTTCAAATATTCGGGTTTGAGCTTTGAAAGTAAACCAAAAAGTGCTAAGGACAAATGAAATTAATGACGTGCTATTTTATGTTTTAAAATCAACTTTTAAAGCTGTGGTCACGCCTTACCGGATAGCTCGAACGAACGCCGAACGGATACAAAAAAAGTTTTCCTTTGACCAAATCCTTATCCGTTAGGATTCCGTAGGTGTACTGACCAAATAAAACGGACGCGTAACGAATGCCTAACGGACACACACAGGATATGCAACGTACGAGAAACGGAAACGTACCGGACAGAACGGATGTCGAACGTACATCCATCGGACAAGTACCTCATAAAACGGACACATAATGGAGGCGTACCGGATAAAACGGATGAACAAGATAAGCGTAAAATTAAAGGCGGCAATAATAATACATGTAAATCACATACACGTGACCTTAGAATTATTAAAAAGTTTCCGTGTAACTGGTTTAAGTTTATTCTTCAATATGCCACCAAAGAGCTGATTGATAGTGAAGACGTTCTCTTGAATCATCATGAATAATAAACATACATGACACTCAATAAATCAGACATACCAATAATTGGCATTTCTGACGCGAAATTTTCAATTGGCATTTGTCCGTTTAACATTCGGTACGTTTCTCTTTTATCCGTTATCCTTCCGTTCATGTCCGTTTCACATCCGTTCATCGTCAGTTTTATCCGTTATACGTCCGGTAGAAGTCCGTTGGTAAATTGGTCTACCGGGCCTCCAACGGATGTATAACGGACAAGTAACGGATACAAAACGGAAACGGAACAGATGAGTACCGTAAAAAACGGACGCCTACCGGACGTTCAACGGACATTTCATCCGTTGGAGGTCTGTTCAAAGTTTTGAACATGTTCAAAATTTTCCACCGGACAGAACAGACGTCGACGAATAAAATGGACGTTGAACGGACATGAAACAGATATGGACGGACGTCTAACGGATAAGAATGGACATCGAACAGACATTACCGGATTGCAAAAAAGTTATCCGTTCGGCGTCCGTTCGTGCTATCCGATAAGGTGTGACCGGGGCTTAAGTTTAAATTAACATTATAAGAATATCATACAATGTGATGGTTTCGTTTGCTATCCTACATTCATCATCAGGAATAATTAAACATTGATGTGTACATCGGCTACCTTTGCAATCAACCTAATTAAACAAAAGATATAATTTGGTATTAATATTCTAATATTCTCGGTACTTTGTTACATTGCATTTTATAAATGATTATAATCTATATGTTCATTTAAATGATTAAAAATGGAAAATTGTAATGTGAAATCCTTACGAAAAATATTATGCTGTTACTGTTAAATGAATAAAATTAATACAGGCTTGCACATTAACAAAGGACAATAGAATGAACAGAACGACGACGACAAATTAAAAAAAGAGCTAAATGCTAAAAATAAAGACACAATTGTTTCCGCCTCTGAAGTATGTTTATTTTGTAGATTTTATCGGGTACGGTGCATATTTTTAACATACAAGTGTTATACGCGTGAATGAGTACCTTTGAAGGAAATTCAATGCTTGTCATGCTATGTCTCATTTCGGTTTTGTAATTTTGCATATACCGATGAATGTTGATAATTTGGTACAATGCTTTATTATAAATTTATTTGCAGTCTTTGTTTATGTTAAGTTGAGAATGAGGTTTCTGCTTAACTGTAAACACTTTGTCAAGTTTGATTTGAACTATTTGAACATGTTTCATATTTGTTTTGGTGCCAGCTGAAGCACGCCTACGGGTGCGGACTTTTTGCTGTGTTAGAAACCCATTGGCTGTCGGCTGTTTTCTGCCCATTGATCGGGTTGTTGTCTCTTTGACACATTCCCCATTTTCTTACCAATTTCATATAACATATATATACATAAGTTAAAATATAGAATGACTCACGAAGTATTTTGTTAAAAAAAACCAATTTCTTTTTCGAAGTTCTCTTATTATGTTTGAGGAGATTAATAACAAAATGGAAGCATTATTCTTGGCTCCTCTTAATATGAACACAAAGTTCGAACATAGAAAAAATATGAATATTAATGCTGTCATGAACACTTATAAAAGTGCTATGGTCTTGAGTCTTATGAGTATTTTCTGTACTTTTAGTAAAAATTAAAGAAAAAAAAAATTCAGTGAAATGTTTTCAATTATCTTTATGTGTTTCCTGTTTAAAAAAAAAGGTGTTAGTTGAAAAGTCATGTCACCTATATCCAGTTTAGCAGTCAGTACTAATATAGTTAGCTTGGAGGATTACTATATTCGGTGGCAATGTTAAAATAGTACAAGACAAATAAGTACTATACACATGTTATTAAAAGCATTTTAAGAGATGACTTATTTATTTAGTACCTTGAAATCTGATTTCAAGTATTTCTTTGCTTGGAAGAAAATGTCTTTGTAGTTTTTAAACTGCTGATTAGTGAGACAAATAGGCAAGGGAAATAGTAAAGTTTTCTGGGATGAGTCTAATGAATACAGCTGTTTGTAAAACCTTTAATGTTTTCAGCAGGAACTGTTGTCCAAAAATAAAATAATTGACAAGCGTATCGAAATATGAAAGCTGATCTGCAATATCGAGGAAAGTATAAAAACCTTGTATTAATTACTCTTAAGTTAAGAAAAGTCCTCAGTTACACTAGTGTACAATAAGGCGTCACTGTAAATCATAATATGTCTATACGCTGACGTCGTCCCGTTCCCGCTTGAATCTAATTTTGAACTCCTTTATCCTCTACTAACATTATTTGTGTCTGAGTTGATGTTGTCTGAATGTCTGCCATTTTGCAGCATACAATTAGACGTTATGAATCAAAACGTTCGTTTCTTTATACAGGGTTATTTTGCTTACAATTACAGGACAAGCTTCGTTAAATAAACATGTAGCTTCAAAATATCCAAAGAAATGTGTTCAGCTACTAGACAAAAATAGGTAGATGCATTGTCGTAATCGGTGTCTTTAATGGATAGTTCCTATATTAATATTCCTTTTCTCTAACCATATACTATTCTTAAATATAGAATACTTTATCACTGAACTAGTATATATATTTGTTTAGGGGCCAGCTGAAGGACGCCTCCGGGTGCGGGAATTTCTCGCTGCATTGAAGACCTGTTGGTGACCTTCTGCCGTTTTCTGTTCTATGGTCGGGTTGTTGCCTCTTTGACACATTCCCCATTTCCATTCTCAATTTTATTTAATGTATCAAATATTGAACATAAACACACACTTATTACATTTCATTACAGATACAGTTATCTTTTGAATATCCAAACTTAGGAGCAAGTACGAATGCATCTGAAGTTATTTGGAGGTTTAAGGAATCTTTCTGTTTTAGGAAGAACTTATACACATGGTAAAAAAGAAACGCCCTTGATGCCAAATGGTAATAATTAAGGATGTATTTGTAAAAACATGGAGCGACAAACCAATTTTATAATGCTTAAGTATGCGTAAAACTTATTGGGATGGATTTTATAATAGCTTACAGCCGCTGAATAACAAACATAAGCAGATGACATAATTAACTTTGAATTTAGATGCATTGATCCAAAAATGATAGCAACAAACAAGAAAATTTAATTCAATCAGAATATAGCAAAGGAACTATTTTTGTCAAGAATCAAAAACAGTTGACAGTTTTTCATAAAAAAAACCCTGAAACTAGAAGCAACAACAAATTGAAGAAAATCAACAGGTAGTTCAATTAATGAAGAATTGATCAAACGTGGACACATGTATAAAAAAGATTTTCAATAAATGAAGGTATTTTGCTTTGTGGGGGGGGGGGGGGAGGGGATGGGGGAGGGGGGATGGGGTTGTTCGGACAAAATAGTATTTATTCTGTGAAGCAAATTAAGTTGTACCAAATGCCACGAAAGGAGTAAATTCTGCTTTGCTAGAATTATTGAATTGACCGCAACCGTCTTTTGAAAAGTAAAATTATTTTTATACACTATAAATTATCTCGATTGTTTGATAAGTTTTAATTTCTTCCTAGAAAAACACATCCTTGTTTTCGAAATAATAATGTTCGCTCAATACGCATGATAGGATAACAAAAGAGAACATAAAACATTACTTTCCATCAAACTCTTGCTTTTAACTTGGGTTATAATATCGGTATACAATATAGCACAAAACTAATCAGTTAAGTTACAACGTAGAGATGCAGTTACTTATCAAAAAATGCTGGAATTTGATAAAATGAAAACTCGGAGTAGGTTAAACAAATCTGTTTTTTTTTTATTTGCTTTCTGAACTGCTGCCGCTGGTACACTACTGTGTGTGACAATAGCTCTATATCCGTTATTTTGAAGTAAAACATGGTTGTATATGCAATAAATGTTCTAGTTTGTCTCAATCTCGAATATTGTCATAATTACTATCAATAAGTATTATACGCTACTATAGCAACCACTAATGAAATGATGAAGATAATATTGTATATTTGTCATAACTTCAAGTAGAATAACCCCCTTTTCCAGCGGCAGATATCGCGTAGGCCAATAAACAGTGTTGGGATATACGCGTAGGCAACATAACTGTTCGGGAATATCCACGTCGCAAAAATACATATTTTTGGAGCACTTTTGGACGTCAAAAATAATAACAAGCTAGTGACGTCAAATCGACTGTGTACCTTTAAAAATATGACTGCCGCCTCAACATTTTGCGTTATCTCAAAACTGGACCTCTACAATATTTTGAGGCACAAACATCCAAAAAGCACTAAGCACATTTCGTAAATACATCTAAGTGAGTATACAGATACATGAGAAAACTATTTTTTTCTAAGTATAGCTGAGTGAAACGTATCTCGAATTTTTATGTTCATTCAAGGAAAATTATATCTTTGTATTCAGTTCAGTATAATAATACAGTAATGAACTTCGTGAAAATTTATCAGACAAACTTTTTAAATCTGTTTCACTATTTCATACGGACTTGGAGGAAAATAACCTTTTCTCGATTCGATAATTGTGGATATTAACTTTGCATGAATTTCCTTCAAAAAGTATTCATGTATATTATTCTTATGAGTTTCATAACTCTAACGGGATACTATGATCATAATAGTTGTATATCTGTTGATGTAATTTATCATTTATCGTTACAGTGGTAAAGACAAAAAGGAATATACAAGAGGCTATTTGCGATGGCTTGGGTATTGCTATTGGTCATAAAAAGCCATACGCAGGTAAAAAGTAGTTCAGCTGAAAGCTTTTAGAAGAGAAGTTATGTATAAATTTAGTGCCAGTATATATAGTGGATAACAATACAACGCACTTCAAAATTAGCATTAATTCAGATAAAAGTAAAATCACAAAAATACTGAACTCCGAGGAAAGTTCAAAAAGGAAAGTCCAACGCACTTCAAAATTAGCATTAATTCAGATAAAAGTAAAATCACAAAAATACTGAACTCCGAGGAAAGTTCAAAAAGGAAAGTCCCTAATCAAATGGCAAAATCAAAAGCTCAAACACATCAAACGAATGGATAACAACTGTCATATTCCTGACTTGGTACAGGCATTTACAGAAAAAGGTCAATTATAATACTTATTGGATAATTGTATGACCATATAGCTTGTATAGATTTACCTATCTCTCTAAAGTTTCGTTCTAAGCAACAGATAGTTGATATCTTACTGACATTGATCCAATATTTTTTCATTAATGCAGCTCAAAATGGCTACATTAATAGTAATGACATCGATAACACAATCACAAATCTTTTTTTTTTTCATGTCATGAAACGATATTGTACGAAATATCAGTTTGGTATTACATTTGGTAGATAAGAACATAGGACGCAATGTGCATTATAAAATGTACTATTCGCCTTAACTCAATTCAATGATAACCATTGAAAAAATAAAGGGCGCTATGTTAGTCAGATTACTGTTTCCCCTTTTTTTATACCAATTTTAACTTGTATTTTCAGTGATACTTTCAGAAGAAGCAAATTGTAATGAAATTATAACGTTGTGTACTGAAACAACAAAGGACAACAATGGTAAGTTCATCTTGTCATACAATACTTCTTTTGAAAAACCAATTAAAACATGCATATCAATATGCTTAGGAAATCGAAACTTGCATGGTAGGCTACCATGAAAATATATTTTGGTTATCAGAAGCATGTACATGATGAAGAAGTTCGTTATAACTTATTTGTGTCTAAAGCTTCAGCATTAGATTGAACTATGCATACCTTACTATTTTGTTTCAAAAATAGATCACACAAAAGAAAACAATTTATGGTTGATCTTTTTAATTACACCAACATTTTTTTTGTTCGCACAGTCTTAAATAAAAAGGGCAAAATCATTTGTAAACTGTGCTAAAATTGTAATTTAATTGCTAACACCGTTGTCCCAGGTTAGATTAAACATGTTTATTTATAGTGGATTGGGAAACAAGTTATTACAACTTATATTTAACCCTTTCCACTTTGCTGGTGCGAGTGCGGCCTTGAAGCAGCATTAGCCTACTCTTTTTCGAAATCTACAAGGGTGTCTTTTACGTGCAAGAGATATTGATTTACTCTTAACACGGGTCAGCCATTAAGTGAGGGGGAAAAGGGGGGGGGGGTTGACAGCTGATAGATAAGTTTAACCTCTATGCAACGTACAGGATATTTAAATTCTAATTCATATATTCAAACAGCTATTAATCTGAATTTGATAGATTAAAATAAAAAAAAAAAACAAATGATGCTAATGAAAAAGTTGTCAAATATTTAAACTAAAATCAAGCAATATTTTATTAAATATTGAAAGTATCATCGTCTAAATTCTAATCTCTAGACACATGATTTTTCAACCATCTGTGGAAATATTTCTAGAAAGATTAAAAAATAAATCACAACGTGGAATATTATTACTTACATAGGGTGCTAGTAACCTAATACGACATATCGCACTGCGTTTTAATTAAGACGTTATGAATGGTTAAACGCCGTCACGTGGTGACCCCTATGGATCTGAGGGTGGTTAGTAAATGTACAGAGGGTTCATGACGTCACGTCTACTGTGAATGGTGACGTCATCTATTGATGTAGTTGTATTTCATTGGTTTTTTCTTTCTACAAAACGCGGCAGGAAAAGTCCCGTGTGCTATAAATTCGTTATACAGTTCACTACTGTCCCTCTACGAACCATAGAGCCACCTGCTTCACCGCATATGGATTTTACTAACCCTTTATGGATCCATAGGGGGTCAGTATCAAACCATATAACTAATAATATTAAATTTATTGAACCCATATGTATCGTATTAGGTCACTAGCACACTATCTAAATAATTTATCTTACCGACTACCTTAACATGTAGCAATTAAACTAGAGGCATATCAAAGTGATCATGTCTTTAATACCGATAGTATTAAGAACCCAATTTCATTGGTCTATACAAAAACAAATATCAACAATAACAACTCGTTAGCTTTACATGTGTTTTATGAATTTATTTCAATCGTTCATCATCAATTTCTTCGTCTGTTGAAATCTTTAAGATTTTTCCTCAACACCGTATTGTTTTTATAAAGGGACGTACCACCACTACTAACCGTGTATTGAAATTAACCCCGCCTACTTATCCACCATGGAATATACACGGTATCCACAATTTTTCTTACCAATCATATTCCTAGAAAAATAAATATGAGGTATTAAGATAAATATATACATGTATTATCATGATGATATATATATATATATTGATATAAGAGAAAGTTTATGTTGATGTTTATTTGTTTATCCCTGTAAATAAATCGAAAATATAACACTGTACACACCATTACTAAAACAGTGTGCAAGAACCAGATGAAATGCAGTTACAAATTTGAATACTAATTAGGCCCTAATACCAAATTTGAATTGTTAAAGTCTTTATCGATACCGCTGCTAGTAGACTGTAAGTCCTGGAACTGTATTGAAGGTATCAATAGCAATTATGTCGTTTATTTATTTGATCATCAAGCTACTAATTGCGAATGATATTTTAATGTTGTGTTTCCGTTGTGTCGTAATTCTCCTCTTATATTTGATGTGTTTCCCTTAGTTTTAGTTTGTAACCCGGATTTGTTTTTTTTCTCAATCGATTTATGAATTTCGAACAGCGGTATACCACTGTTGCACTTATTCGCATCGCTAAAGAAGAAGCAAATTTCACTAGCACTGAGTTGATACCGCTTTAGCTAGGTTTCCTCACCTTCTTCTTTCAAATCAAACTGATCAAAGATATCAGGCATATAATTTTGTACACAGCACTTACCTTTCGTCTAAACACGATTCATCAGTGGTGCTCAATTCAAAGCAGTTTGAAGTCAAATCAATTACGAAGCTAAAGGCCATTAAAACCAGCAATGTTGGTGTCAAATCTTGCTAAAGGCGTCAATTCCGTGGTAAAACAAACTTAGCATAGCGAATGATTTAAAAGATTTATTTAGTTTTGTGAAATTTTTTTTGCACATGACAAGGGGGATTTTAAACCAGTTATAGCAAATTGAGATACGTCTTATCACAATACAAATATAAACACATACACATTAGATGATGACCAAAATATGATAGGAGCTAGACTGAGTGATTGACAAAAAAAAACAAAAAAAAAACAACACTATAATATGAAACACTGGACTGGAGTGATGTGAGTGAGTGTTAGTATAGTGTATGTTTTGAATCTATGTTATTCTGATAAATAATTTTATCAACCAATGACTTAAACTACAAAATAAATCATCAAGTTAATACAATTTCATGTGTTTGAGAACTGGTCGTCAATACAGAAAAAAAAAAAAACCGACATATAAAGAATTTCTACTTGTCTCAAAACATGAATAAACTTCCATTTTTTTGGTTTTAAAAGGAGTCGGAAATGGATGTGTGTTTTACGTGAAATATTCGATTTCAACAAAATTGATGTTAGACTTGTTATTATTGTTCATATGTTATACTATTTTTTTCTTTGATTATATACAACTATGGTTAATAGAAAGTGTGAAAATATTTGTCAACCATAAAAGATTTTTTATCTTAGGGTGCAGTCCGAAGTGAAAGAATTTTGTATGGTTGTCAATCTTAGTTAACCACCACTTCGAATATGCCCCTATGTTTAATTATTATACAGGGCCCTTCGCATCATTGGAAATACATGTCTTATAGTACAAGTTATAGTTATAGATTGTCCAAACACTTACATCAGAGAATTACTTTGTGACTTAAAATGTTTCTATGTACAACAATTGAAGACAATTTCTGTTACGCCTTGAGCCAATGCAGCTACATTTTCCCTTACCACATTCATCAACATGTTTAGAAAAAGGAAAATCTCCAATTTTCGGGTCCTGTATCTACTCTTTTTGGATCTGCCTCTATCAATTAGTCTGTTGGTTTGAATTACAATTACGACATGTGGAACAATTAATAGTATCATCCGATTTGCAGTTGATACTTAAATTCAATTTGATCACTGTGCCCGATTTAAAAGTTTTACTTTGTACTACCTCTATAACATCGTACGTCCGACATCTTGGATCACTGGATCATTTCAATGTGCCACATTCTGCGTATTGCATTTTGCTCGTGTAATACGTTTCCTCAGATTTGGTGCTGACGGCTTCCTATTTGATGTTATTCATTGATTATTTTTTTCATTTTTTTTATCGATGTACAATAGGTTAAAACCGATAAGCCGAACTTTGTGATAACCGGGATTAAGTGTAATTATGAACGGAAGTATTTTCTGCTTATCTTTTCTGTCATCCCTTTGTTGTATGTTCAACGATTGGAATTATTGATACCTATTTTATTCTATTGTAGATCAAACTGATAGGATAGTTTTGTCTTTCTAGACGCATTTTCATTTCCTATATTATTTGATCATGTACTTCTACAATTAAAACTATTGTACATCTACGTTAAATTGAAGTGAATGTTTCGTTTGAAATGTGACGGATGGCATGATCTGAAGTCCAAATAATGATAATGTAAGAGTGTTTACTATATAAATTCGTAATGATCTTCGCTTCTTCTCCGGTAATATAGGTGTCTAAAACAGTATTTATGAATAGCTGGACTCGTGTGTGAACTGTTTTGATTCGTTAAAGGCATTCAGTAATGAGTGAAATTTAGTTCTCTTTGACCGGAAGATAAAACAGTCATCGAATTATCGCTTCCAAAATTCTTGAATATAAAACCCAAATGGTTCATCGAATTACACATGCATTAGGAAGGTATCTATAGGTTGCAATTCTGTATATATAGACAATGCAATTTCCCATAGGAACTCCTTTTGTGGCTAAAGCTGTGCCACTTTTACTATGACGTTTCGTGAAAAATTATATCTCAGAATTGAAAGTTGATATGCACTACTGTTTTATTCAAGGTCAAAATATAGTGCCGTGCGGCATATTTTCAACATTTATATGCGCTTAACTTCTAAGAGTTTAAACTTATGCTAAAATTCTATACTACCCCTACCTCCACTTTTTGACCTCCTAAGAATTAAATTTTAGGCGCTACCATGTTTTTCTATACTGGTAACGTCTTAAAGTTATTTCTCTATGAGATGAAACACAGAGATCATATCTGGGAACCAGTGCATCAACAAATTAACATATCTATGAATATTATATATCTCCCCAAAAAGAGGCATGGCTTGTGAAACAGATGTATTTAGAAAGTGCAACCTTTACGTATACCTGTTTTCTATGTTATCACCTACCAGAGTGCCACATATTGGCCCAGCCTTGGTTCCAATCGCGATAGCCTTGACTTAAGTTTATTAGTGTCGTCAAACTGATGATGCTTATTTTGCACTGAATCACTTTCTGAGGTTTATGTTCTTTTCAGTTTTTTTTATCTCACTATATGTCAATTAGCAAAGCCCAGTATATGAGCACAAAGAAAATATTCACAAATGAAAACAGAAAAATCGTAGGATTAAACACGAAATTTAATAGTAAGACAAATAAAAAGATAAACAGTACACTAGCAAAGGTGTTTCATATTTGGAAGAAAAAATAATTTTCTATTGTTTAATTGATAGACTGTAAAGCTAAAGAATATGCATTGGTCTAGTTTTTTTTATCATTCATACATGTTCATTAGGAATGTGTTAGTGTTTATGTACCGATATTAATGTATATGCCATGTATATACGTTTAGCTGTTTAGGTTAAACAGTAATGTGTATATTACATGATTTATCTTTGTATTAGTGTTAAAAAACCAAATGTACAAATGTAGTAAAACAAGTATATACAAAGGACGACTTTTCCCATAAAATGATTTTTTTGGTAAATTATTCTTTGTATATTTTCAGATATCAAAAGACCGTTAGTTCTACGTAAAAAAGGAATTACTGTACACACAGAATTAACTGGTTCTGATGCTGGGTGTGTTATTCAAACTTTCAAGGTTTGTTAAGTAAAATCTTTAAAATTTCACCTTGTTTTGATTTTTTTATTAGTGAATTGAAAATCAATATAACATCCGCGAAACTTACTAAGAGGAAGTCCCGAACAATCATGCATCTGTTGTTGTTTTTTTTTTTTTTTTTTTTTTTTTTTGTTATCTAAGATTGCAACCAAACATGTAGAACACATAAAGGACTTTTAAAATGTATCTATTGTACTCAACACCAACATAACATAGGTGTTATTACAAACAGAGTAATACTGCAATATTATCATTTACCATCACGTTCCACTATACAGATGCTGTCCTCTCACCAAATAATTAAATATGTTGGTTTCGTCCTATTCCCGATTTTGACATTTTGACATTTTGAGTGTGAATTCGCATTTACGGTGATACATGCACAGGAGGAGACAATACTGTGCCAACGCACCCGTTCTCGTTCCTTCTGTAGTTCTTGTACGTCCCTTAGATTTTGCTTGAACATTAATGTATTACTTCCGAATCGATTTAAGCAATTTAAAAAACGTGAATCTACTGCAGCCTTACTACATGTAAATACACAATAAAATGTTATATACACTTATCGTCTTATCAAATCACTTTAATGTCAACATTTAACATAAGAACTATAATAGTTGTGTGAAGATAAAATATGTTTCTGAAATATATTTTTTGTTAAATAGAACAATATATTACGTCTCGGACAAAACGATGAAGAAATAAGGTTTGGGTTTGCAAGACCAAATTGACGTAACACTAAAACTATGTCTATTTACAAGTCCCTGTTCGGCTTATTTCGTCTGTATCATTATGAGCTCTTTACACCTTGATAAGTGTACTATGTTGACTGTAAACTGTGATTATAATGAATTGTTTAATACTGGTGCTAGTATGATAAAAATGCTTAAAAAAATGTAACAGGTTTCAACATTATATTTAGACTTAGATGACGCAGATTTAATCAAAACCTTTTCATAAATATTTATATTTGAGTGTTTCGTATATATTCACTATACAAATGAACTATTCAAAAATTTGGGGTTCAGTGTTTTTTTTAATCTTAATCAGTCAGTCTTTTGCCTTCTAATCCGGTCATGTCTTTACGAAGTCTGTTACAATATAATAATTATAAGATTTTCATTTTGAATTGAAAGATATGGTTACTTAGAATAAAGCATGTTTTGCTAGACACACTAATTTAGTGGAGGAGTAATTCACCATGTACTGTTTTCAATTATATCAATACTAATAATTCGTTACTTATTTTTTTTTAAGCTTGCATGTTTAAAAAAACGTTTACGTTGAATAAAGCATGTTTTGCTGGACACAACCATTCTATTGAGGAGAAATTCACCATGTACTGTTTCAAATATATCAGTATTTATAATTCTTTAACAGTTTTTTAAGCTTGCATGTTTAAAAAATCCAGTTCTTTGGACATCTGAGAGACGGCATACTTTTTCGTGATGTTTATAATTAGGGAATTTTCCTTCTACTTAGCGATAAAAACTTTTGAATAGTCTTAAAATGTGTGCCTGTTGCAATCGAAAATATCTACATTATGTATTATCTTTCGTGTATCAATCTATCTGGCTAAAGACGAATCTTTGCGACAAATTGTGGCGACAGTAATCTAGCAATGTTAAAATTTGGCAAATTGATCAGAAAGAGACAAATAACGGTTCATAAACAAACGATAGACAATCACAAGATCCTCAAATAGAGCGAGACATATCGTGCCAACAGAGAAAGCGTCTTCTACTCTGCAAGCATCAACCAAAATGCATAGCAACGTCAAGTCAAAATGTCACAATTGGTGAAATTACAGATCAGGCAACTACCCTATATCTAAAGACTTGAGACCGCTTAACATGTTACTAATGAGTTGAAACATTGACTCAGTCATTGTATAAAATGAACAATTCGTAATGTCACTGTACGATTGAGCAGAAAGTATTATGTTACTGCTGTCAATTGGAAAGTTGCAACTATCACGTTTATCGTAGTGGGGTTCGTGTTGCCTAGTATTTAGTTTTCTATGTTGTGTCTTGTGTACTATTGTTTGTCTTTTTGTCTTTTTCTTTTTTGGCCATGTCCTTGTTGGTTTATTTTCGATCTGTGAGTTTGAATGTCCCTCTGGTTCAAGGATATTGTTTTTTTTAATTGTTTAACATCTCACAGCGGTAAACTACTGTTGCCTTTATTTATTCACCCCTTATTTTATTGATTTTGTATTTTCATTGTATCATAGATCAAATTTATTCGTTCAGTGTTAATATGTCTTATAATTTAATTAGGCCATTTCAATTGATATTTAATAGTGTGTCTTTCTATTTTGTGATGTTACACTACTGTTTTAGATAAGGGTGAAGGTTGGTACCTAATAAAACGTTTAAACCGCTGCATTTATTTGCTCTCGTCCTAAGTCAGGAATCTGATGTTCAGAAGTTGTCGTTTGTTGATGTGGTTCATAAGTGTTTCTCGTTTCTCGTTTTTTATATAGATAAGACCGTTGGTTTTCCCGTTTGAATTGTTTTACACTAGTCATTTTTAGGCCCTTTTATAACTTGCTGTTCGGTGTGAGTCAAGGCTCCGTGTTGAAGACCGTACTTTGACCTAAAATGGTTTACTTTTTACAAATGGTGACTTGGATGGAGAGTTGTCTCATTGACATGCATACCACATCTTCTTATATCTATTAAGCATATCTTCATTTGTCTTAGTATTCATTATTTCAATAAAGACTATAGAATGGAAACGGGGAGTTTATTAAAGAGACAACAACCCCAACAGCGAGTATTTTTTTAAACTTTTATTTTGTTTCGGATTTTTAATAATGTGACGTCCATGTCAATGAACAAGTATACATTATTGATAGGGGCCAGCTGAAGACCGCCTCCTGGATCGGGAAATTCTGGCTTCCTTGATAACACAATGGAGGCATTGGGCTTTCTACTCGGGTTGATGACTCTTTTAGACAGCCGCCTTTTCCATTTTTAATTCTATTCTACCCATTGAAATGCGAGTTATTGAGTGTTAGAATATCATCAAAATACCTTAAAGTAAAATTGAAGAACTTTGCGAGATGATTTCGTCTCTTTATGAATTGTGCATGGTGTGCTTCGTGTGAGTACAAAAACAAGTATACCAGTATTGGTTCATAATCAGTAGCAATCAGAAAAACGACTGTCTGCTGACATAATAATCTATCGACCTTAACAAATATGTTGTCGATCGAAAAGTCCAGCTTCTTGATTACATCATTTTCTGTGTATTTTTTGGGGATCTTAAAAAAGTAAGTGAAGCTTCATTTCTATGTAGCAAAAAGTAAAATAACTAAAATACCGAACTCTAAGGAAAATTCAAAAAGGAAAGTCCTGATTCAAATGGCAAAATCAAAAGCTCAAACACATTAAACAAAAAACGCAACATTCAATAGCATCTGCATATGGAACATATATCTCCAAGTTGATACGATATTCCGGAGATAATGTTTTCTATAATGATGTCCTAGATAGACAGTTGCAATTAACAAGGTAATTGATGAATCAATCTATTCATTGTTCCTAGTGGTAAAACTGAAATCGTTCTTTTGAAAGTTTCACAGACGCCATCATGATTGGTTGACTGTTTTGGAATATATGTGTCACAGACGACCACTGTTATGTTCCGGTTGTCGGAGCCACAGTCACGTTCATTGTCCTGGGCTTGACATCACCAAATGACTCTTACTACCGCCTTATACATTCCATGAACAAAACGACGGGTGCTATATTGTTGCTTACATTTCCAGAGCACTTAAGATCATCTTCGAATAATGGTAGGGTTGGTGTATCTTTGTTTAAATTTCCAATGTATGGTTTGTAGACTGTCTTTTTTAATTTTTAAGTTTATTACCATGGTGGTGATGGTTTCTCATTGACTGGTGATTATTGAGTTTCTATCTGGTGTCTGCAATCTTTTTTAAGGATATTTAAATCATCCACTTCTTTTTTTATTTTTAACCCTGACAATATAGTCTATAAGAGGAACGGAACATTCAGAAGATTCGACAAGTTTAGGTGATTTATCCTGTTTTATGCGGGTCAAATTGATCGTTCTTTTCAATTGTAATTTAAATATCAAAAACCATGCGACTTTTAGTATTTTCTGCAATTGATAATGATTCTTTTTACATGTTTTATTGCCTTGCAATATTCATTTCAGATGTTAAAATGTGAAGCTGAAAAAATATCTAAATATGAAAAACTTACCATCATAAAACCGATTAAAGAAATGTATAACTACCAAAGTCAAAAGGAATCTCAGCATCATATACATATATCTGGTGTAAAGGTAAGTTGTTACAACAATGTTTCATGAGTCAATGTATTACTAACATAAAAATCAAGGTTTCTTCGTCCCTTTTGATAACAGTACTTTTGTTTACTCTAGTGGAGAAAGAACCGCTGACCCATATTGTATTTTTTTATGAAGAAATCGTCTTGTTCAATCTTAGTTTTAGCAGTCTTTGTGGACTTGATTTGTACCGTTTAGTTATGCAGTACCCTTCTATTTTTATTCGACTTAGGATTTTTTATATTTTTCTCAATCTTTTTAGAGTGTTACAATTTTATGAAAAATTGATAAACAATAAATGTACTTTGCAAATTATAACTTTTTTATGAACTAATTGCGCCGCTATAGTCTGTTAGGTCGTTAAGGATTATCTGTGTATCAGATTACTAATTGTAGCCATACTATATCGTTTTTCCCCGATTTCAAGTTCAACGATTGACACTTAGTACCAAATTTGTACTTTGAACAACATGAGGGTTGTCACAAGTACATAGCTATAAGAAGATGTGGTATGAGTGCCAATGAGACAACTCTCCATCCAAGTCAAAATTTGTAAAAGTAAACCATTTATAGGTCAAAGTATGGTTTTCAACACCGAGCCTTGGCTGACACCGACAAGCAAAATATAAAGGGCCCTAAAAGGACTAGTGTAAAACCATTCAAACGGGAAAAACCAACGGTCTTATATATATAAAAAACGAGAAACATTATAAACCACACCAACAAACGACAACCACTGAACATGATTTGCTCACCTTGTTGATACACCTTAGATCAGCACTAGTTTTATTAGGAATTAGTTATGCTCAGTCTTGAATATCATGTGTAGGTTTTTTTTTTTTACTTCTTTTTTCTCCACGTCGTCTTTTTTTCAATGATTTTTATTTGTTTGCTTAAATTCAAAGCTTGAGTTTTTAATGTCCCTAACGTTCTATCCGTCTGTATTCCAAGTAAGACTAAATATACAAGATAAAAAGAAAAAGGGAAAAATTTGCGATTTTATATTCAAGATATGATAATTCTTTCAGAACACCTCATATGACGTTCGGTTTGTATGAGTCTTGTTTTGCTCAGTTTTTTTTCATGTATTGTTTTGTAGACTTTTCATTCTCTCTTTGACGAGACAAATTTTGTCCTTGAGGGTCTTTCTGAAAATAATATATCTCAGTTGATGTACTGTCGATTGCACCTAGTGCGGATAGTACAAGTAATGCATGTCAGGCGCCCTCCAAACTAACCCACTCGTTAAATGTTGGCCAGAGAATTAAAAGGTTGTTTTTCTTTAAACGTTTGCTAGAGAAAATTACCATCTAAACGATGACATAAATAAAGTAGACAGGAACTTGTTCGACTGATACGAATTGAGCAAAACAAATAAAAAAATTGACTCTGTTAAGCGTTACAAGTTTATACATCTGCATCCCTCAAAATATCTAATATATCTTATATCTTTGCCATGCCATAAACAAAGGTTTTGTACTATCACCACGCAGAGACTGAGTACGGTAGAAATAATTTAGCGTTTATACTATTTTGAAATCACCCCTATAGCTCACCTGTATGATTTGTTGTTTCTTTGAAGGTTGTAATTCCAAGAGGACCTTATCAGGCTAAAGGTTTACTGTTGTCTTGCATAAGAGTAAATGCACCTTGTGTGTTCTTGCAGCCTAACAATGACGACGATAAGGAAGAAGTGAACGATGCTGATTACACAATACCGTTAGGAATTGCAGAAATTGTGTTAGAAGGTATGGCAGGATATGCTCTATGGAAAGTAGTATTGATAGCATACATCTATAAATGATATCAGTTGATGTGAGTAACTCTGATCTAAAAATTTCAGAACATATGGCTCATCTGTGATGATGAATGTTACTTGAACAAAATGGAAATAACTTTAAGCCAGGCTTCTTTAAAAGAGGTTCGAAGTGATAACACAAGGTCACAAATAAATAATTCAAAACACCCGAAACCTGAAAATGAACATATATTGTTTTATAAATTTAATCCAATGCCCTTTTAAATATTTAACTATACAGAAAAGAAGGAAATATAATTGGATTTGCCTGAAACAAGCGAACAAACAACGACAAAAGAAACAAACACATATAAGGGTCTACTAGTCTAGTACGGAACACAAGAGTTAGTGACTCAAACCTGTCCAAAATCCTCGAGCGAACATAAAACGTATGCTCAACTACTAATTCCCATCGTATAGCTCATCTTAAAATACGTTGATGAGTCATATTTAATAAAAGCGTATCATACAGTAGAAGATTGGTAAATGTATCTCGTTTACGTTGAAACATTACCACCATGTCAATATTCTACCTTTTATCACTACTTCTTTTATAAAGAAATATATTTCATTACAACAATAAGTAAAATAGACATGAACGCAGACTGAAGCGACTGTACACTCTCTTGGAACAATACAAAACATTAGAGGTTTGAGATATATTTCAATTAGTATATTAATGTACAGTAGTTGATGAATACTGTTGCTATGTTAACATGGTTAAGATGATATTTTTTTTTCTAAAATCACACAATATAACACATTATCGAGTATTAATTAGACATATGAACGTTGTTGAGTAATATTAAGGTAATTAATTACCAGACATCTATATATTAAAAAAAAAATGCAATATAAAAGCATAAACATACTATATACACATGATACACATAGCAGTGCTTATTTATATTATGTAGGAGTATTAGGAGCTAAGTGACCATACGTTTACACTAGCTTGCAATAACATATACTGCAAAGCATTAAGTACCAAATACTTCAGTTAAAAGGACAAGGTATGATAAGGGCCGTTTCTGGCCCCCCATTTTCCAGAATTTTGAAATTTTGAATTTGAAACCCATCCCGCCTGTGGAATGAACTGCCGTATCTGCTCGTCCACCTAGAACCTTATTTTAAGGTGTTATGTGCTCAAATCTGTGCAAACTTAGACCTTGAAAAGGCTATGAACGATGAAAATTGTAAAAATTCTACAATTTAGTCATGTTTGGAGACGAAATTTGACATCAGCGCCAATGTAGACCATCCTGAAATTTTCAACTATCAACTGTGCTCTTGTGTATCTTTCATTTAATAAAATATTAAGGTGGTCTACGTTGGCGTATCCGACTGTTTACAATTTTTACAAGTCAATATAATACGTCAAACGAAACCGCACGGTTACGAAATTATTCCGGGGTCCACAATTGATCTCAAAATATAGCGTACGAATACCTTTTACGTCGTATCAAGTCATCAAGACATGTCACTCCAGGGACGGATCCAGCCATTTTAAAAGGAGGGGGGGGTTCAACCATATGTCCCCATTCAAATGCATCGATCGTTCCAACCCCTAGAATCCCCCCCCACTCCCCCCCCCCCCCCCCCCCCCCCCCTGGATCCGCCACTGCACTCTCTTAAAGAAAATATGTTCTACGTGTAATTAAACCAAGGCAAAAACGTCTACCATCGTGCAGACAAATACAAAATGATGTCCCTTGAAATATGGTGAATTAATTTCCATTCATTATTATTTTCAAATATTCAATTAAATCGTACAAATAAATGTTATTATAAGGTCTTAATATATTCAAATTGGGTTTGTAATTCTGAAGTAAATTGTTCATATCCTCAAAATTAATATATTTTGCACTTGAAAATTTTCTATTTTACCATCCTCAGAAAAATAGATTTATATATATTTATTTCGTTTACAATCCGTAGTTACCATACGTGCAATGAATGTACTAAGGCCAATATATATAATAACTAAAGATAAAAAAATAGATATAATAATAATAGACGAATATCTGTTTACAGTATTAAACTAAAGAGCTATGCATGTGAAGTTATTAAATCCAAAGAATTCAATGTAACTAAAAACCATTATTCTATGCATAGAGCAGTTCATACTGAAAGCAAGTTCATGATACTTAAACTATACTGTAATTTACATATTGACACCCTATTTATATATCGGTACATTTTTCTTATATATGTGAGCACTCTTGACAATTTGTAATCATAAAATAAAAGTAGCATTTCATTCACTCAGCTCCTGTTTGGATTTTTAAATAAAACATACAACAAAATTACTGTCAACATATTTTACTTGCATAAATACAAAATTGATAAGACCCATGGCAAACAGACTTATGAAGTATGCGTGAAGAATCATGTGTATTTTTTTTTTGCCATTTCAAACATTTATAGCTATTTTGTCTGGAGTTCTATCTAAGTGACAATCATTTCATGTCAAACATACACAATGTATACCTTATCCCGGAGTGCAGTGGTTCATCTGACCTGTTCAATGTGCAGGTAACTATGCCCTCTTATTTCAGTTTCATATTTGTATGCAGTTTTTGAGCTACAGCTTTACTATCTAACAGGTTTATTGGACACATAATGGAAGCGTGCATTGCCACAGGATTTTTATTTTTTTTTCAAAAACTCTCAAAATGCCAGGTATTTGGACTAAGTCAATTTTTTTTGGTACTAAAAGTCAAATAGGTGTAGTTGTTGTATATTCACAAAAATCGGTAGTTGGACTTGTTTTCCTTCACGCTTGCTATATAATTGAAGGCATGAATTGCACTACTACAGTTTAATGTCCCAAATGCAACAAATAAGATTTTTTACTACTTTTAAATATTTACCGGAAAGTTGAACTTGGTGATCACTGAAAATAGAAAATTGAACTTGGTGACTACTATAACTTGAAAGTTGAAACCTTTTGGCTGGACATTCAGTCCTGCAATTGAAGACATTCAGAATAAAAAATAAAAATAGATCAACATACATAGTATTAATTTATAATGTCTTATGATTAGGCGGGAGCATCAATGTGTCTTACAGACAGCGCAACAATTTCCAGTTGTACACAGCAAAAAATGCAACGCATGTAAACGCATGTTTACCAGGAATTCACCGTACGTTTCTAAACATGTCAGAAACGCATGTTTGGAGCAACGTACGTTTAACGCATGTTTGAGGAACGTATAGTTTACATGCGTTTACGTGAAACATGCGTTTGAAAACACATGGTAAACGCATGTTTATATGTAAAACATGCGTTTGAAAACACATGGTAAACGCATGTTCATGGTAACCATATGTCTGAGAACATATTGTAAACACATGTTCATAAACCGTACGGTAAACATATGTTTGGATGATGGTTGTTTTACTTCTAGTGGCAGATCAGATGCATATCCAGGTTATGAGATCATAATAATGAGAAATGAGCGCTAACCCTGCTATGTATTAGACTGACACCCTGAGACAGATTTTAAAAGTGCTAACTCACAAAGTAACAGTTTGCAGGAAGACATGTCACCCTACCAGGAAACATTATTATGACTACCAGTCGATTCAGTTTTTTCTTTTACTAATGATGCTTGCCTAGCAGAGACGCAGCTAATACCAGTCTTCAAGTCTTTGCATTGACTCAGCCCCTGTTTGAACCTATAATAACCTCCTGCACTCATGGCAAGCACCATCAGACTAACCGAGGCAGTCTAACATGTTTGAGAAAAATCATGTAGGATATATGAACAAAACATAAGTCATTATGTGAATTATGCGTTTGAAATTAAACTTTCATGGTATCAATTTTATTGCACCATATGAGCATTTCATCTGAGTGCAGATGTTTCAATCAATAAAGAATCTACAGCTATATAATTTGCACTTTGGCCCTCAGTTTTTTAAAGATTTTTTGAAGAGTACTTATAAATTATATTATTAAGTTGAAAACACCTTAACAATCCTGTCAGCCTAAGTTCAAACCAATTTCTATGCATACACGTTTTTCTTGATATTGCAGGATTGATAATAAATTCTTGTCTGTGGTAGAAGAATATATTTTTAAAATTTGTTAAGTGTATAATCAAATGTAACATTTCAAATATATTCTAACAAAAATAAGTCAATTTCTTCATCTGTTTTCTTTTTTTTTCAAACTAGTAGCTTTCCATGGCAGATTCCGAAATAAAGCAAGATGCAAAGTTTATTATAACTGGAACTAACTATCAATTAATCTTTATTTTAAAACAAGCAAAATAATTAAGTTAAGGTTAATATTACGTACAGTGATATATGAACATCTATAAATATAGGAAGATGTGGTATGAGTGCCAATGAGACAACTCTCCATCCAAGTAACAATTTATAAAAGTAAATCATTATAGGTCAAGGTATTTTCTTCTAAATATCAAGTAATATTTAAAATTGGAGTTATCTTCCTTTGTCCATAATTATAGTTGAATCAACTACAATCTATGCGTTATACAATGCAATGTTTAATTTTGACTTCCACTGATAAAACACAGATCAAGTTGAACTTGGGTAGTGTCACTTTAACCATTATTGAGTTATGCTCCTTTATGAATCGAAAGATTGCCTAATTTTTGTAACTTAAGTTTGCCCCAACCAAACTTTATGAAACCTATACACAATTTTCATTACCACAAAAATAAGATCAAGTACATTTTTTTTGTTTCCGTTTTGTAACTTTAGTTTGCCTCAACCAAATATTATGAAACTTATACACAATGCTTATTACTACATAATACAGATTAAGTACAAAATTTTGTGGCGACAATTTTACCATTCTTGAGTTATGTCCCTTTATAAACATAAAAATTGCTGAATTTTTCGTTTCCGTTCTCTAACTTCAGTTTGTCTCAACCGAATGTTATAAAACTTATACACAACCGTTCTAGAGTTATGCGT